TATAACTGGAGAATACTACTAACTACACCACTAGTATCCTACCAGCAGACACTTAGGAGGGTCCTTATAACTGGAGAACACTACTAACTACACCACTAGTATCCTACCAACAGACACTTAGGAGGGCCCTTATAACTGGAGAACACTACTAACTACACCACTAGTATCCTACCAGCAGACACTTAGGAGGGTCCTTATAACTGGAGAATACTACTAACTACACCACTATTATCCTACCAACAGACACTTAGGAGGGCCCTTATAACTGGAGAACACTACTAACTACACCACTAGTATCCTACCAGCAGACACTTAGGAGGGTCCTTATAACTGGAGAATACTACTAACTACACCACTATTATCCTACCAACAGACACTTAGGAGGGTCCTTATAACTGGAGAATACTACTAACTACACCACTAGTATCCTACCAACAGACACTTAGGAGGGCCCTTATAACTGGAGAATACTACTAACTACACCACTAGTATCCTACCAACAGACACTTAGGAGGGTCCTTATAACTGGAGAATACTACTAACTACACCACTAGTATCCTACCAGCAGACACTTAGGAGGGTCCTTATAACTGGAGAACACTACTAACTACACCACTAGTATCCTACCAACAGACACTTAGGAGGGCCCTTATAACTGGAGAACACTACTAACTACACCACTAGTATCCTACCAACAGACACTTAGGAGGGCCCTTATAACTGGAGAACACTACTAACTACACCACTAGTATCCTACCAACAGACACTTAGGAGGGCCCTTATAACTGGAGAACACTACTAACTACACCACTAGTATCCTACCAACAGACACTTAGGAGGGCCCTTATAACTGGAGAACACTACTAACTACACCACTAGTATCCTACCAGCAGACACTTAGGAGGGTCCTTATAACTGGAGAATACTACTAACTACACCACTAGTATCCTACCAACAGACACTTAGGAGGGTCCTTATAACTGGAGAATACTACTAACTACACCACTAGTATCCTACCAACAGACACTTAGGAGGGTCCTTATAACTGGAGAATACTACTAACTACACCACTAGTATCCTACCAACAGACACTTAGGAGGGTCCTTATAACTGGAGAACACTACTAACTACACCACTAGTATCCTACCAACAGACACTTAGGAGGGTCCTTATAACTGGAGAACACTACTAACTACACCACTATTATCCTACCAACAGACACTTAGGAGGGTCCTTATAACTGGAGAACACTACTAACTACACCACTAGTATCCTACCAGCAGACACTTAAAGCCTGGTTATGTGAGCTCCTCTAGAGCTGTCTGGATTTGAGTGTCTGAAAAATAAACTGATTGTATTTGGAATACAGGGAGGCAAATAGTTTTGGGCACTTTAATTTGCATGATCACAACCTATTTTCCTAGCGCCTGTCTGTACTTCTGTAGCAGACAGATGGTCTGTGTTAACGCCTGGAATGTTGAATCACAACAAAATCTCAGCGTGAAATAGATACACGCATCAAACTTTCTAAATCATGTCGATATTCTTATTCTTCTTATTCTTCTTCTTATTATTATTATTATATCAAGACGCATGGCGCCACCACCGATGTAAAGTGATGCTACAGTATGACAAAGTCTCCAGGTTTATGGCCATCATAATGTTTAGCATCTGTCTTAAACAGAGTTCCCTGTTTAATCAGTGTGTACGGGAGTTTCGCTCAGTCGTTTATGTTGAGGACGATATAGAGTGAGTGTTGGACATTATGTGCGTGGTCTTTCGAGACTGTGGTGCGAAGTTCCTCCAATGCCAGGATGGCAGAGAAAAGTGGGAGGACGAATGACGTCATAATTAAGAGGCACCGAATCTACATCGATTCCAGACAGGCATTCAGTCAACAGCATTTAAATTCCAATCAAACCCTGGCCTAAATGTAACCCCTGGATTGAACAGCCAAACTTATGTTGTGCTTTTGCAGTTGTAAATGTATGTCCGCATAATAGGACATGCTGCCTTAAAATATTAAAACAATGTTCATCTAGAGAGTTGCCGCTTACTGTTCTGCAGAAATCAAAAATCACCTATTCCAATAGGTAGATTTGACATTTATATCGCACATGCCTGCTTACACTCACACCAGTATGTCTACAGAGCACACGCATCAGAAAAAGAGAAACAGAGAGAAACACAGGAAGGACTCAGCGCCTGGTTTCCCTGAGAAGTAGCCACCTTCTGAGGCCCACACAGCAATCAGGCTTTCCTCTCTCATAAACAAATCTGAAACACAGCAAGAGTCCCTTACTGGAAGAAGTCATAGCTGAAGGTGACCAATCCCAGAATCTCTTCAATGGAGATCACATCAATCTATATCCAATCATATAACAGAATTTTAGTGGATGCATGAAGTTAACATATTGTTCTGATGTATCGTGTCCCTGTGGACTACTTGTGTTTCAGTCTAAATTAACACGTTTCCAAAAGAAGCAAGAGCTGCATTTCGGTTACGTTTTATATAGTCAAAAAAGTTGCATTTGAGCCGAGCTGTGTGAAGGCAGGCAGGGAGATGTCTTCACCAGGGAGAGTGGGAGCTGTTCTATTATTAAACACATCAGGCTTTCCAGGAGATACGTTCGGTAAGATTGCCAGAAGGTTTTTGACAACCATTCGCCAAACATCCCTACCATATGGACGCCGAGCAAACAGGTTGCCTTAAGTTGTCTAATTACTAGGGATATCCGTATGGATGTACGCACACTATAAAGCATGAACACACTGGTCTGATATGACGTCACATGGGGACAACCACCAAATGATTCTTACAAATATTACAAATGCATTTCAAAGTGCCAATAAGGAACTCCATTTAGACCTGACACACCTAGTAGTAGAAGAGCAGATAAGACTAGAAAAACACATGGTCTAACGTAACGTTTCCAGGACAGGTTTGGTTAGTCATTCCCATACATATCCACTGTGACAGGCACCAGTGAGGTAGATCAAACAGTTTCCGCAAGAGGAAGCTCACCTGCTTCACTTGTTGACATTCCTGTGACAGCACAAGTATGGACACGCATGTAATGTAGCAAGTCAAGCTGTTCTCACAAGGCACGGCAGACGGAAGAAGATCGCTGTCCTCTGCCACCTCTTAACCACCCAACAGGGAGTGATATAACCATTACCCCCTATTAACTCCAAGTCTTGATGCAGCGGGCCAAGCTCAATCCTGTTCCTGACTCCCACGCTATTCGCTCTGGTACACTTGTAATGGAAGACTCAGTCAGGGGCTTACCTCAGGCAAAACAACCAACACACATGGCATATATCTATATGGCAGTGTGTGAACGTTCATGCACAGGCACACTGATGAAGATAATCTCAATGCATATGTGGATGGCGTGACAGACGTGCCTTTAACATGGGAGGCTTTTGAGCTTTTGCTCCGATACAGACACTTCCTCAAGGGAATTCCTCTCTGTTGCATTAGGAGATGGGGTTGAGTGGATGACAGTGGGAAACGGAACGAGGACTCCACACAGACACTCGAGATAAAACACGTTTTATACAGCTGTACAATAGGCAGGGACTGCAGTAAGCATTCAACTATGGCAGTGCATTTGGTAAAAATATAGGCACAATCAAATGGACTCTCATGAACAACTTCATCTAACGCCACAGATTTTATTGCCAGTGAATAAACCGGTCCACAGGCTGGTCAAGAGGGAGAATGTCCTGTATGAGTCTTCTGTCCTGCTAGTGAATAAACCGGTCCACAGGCTGGTCAAGAGGGAGAATGTCCTGTATGAGTCTTCTGTCCTGCTAGTGAATAAAACAGTCCACAGGCTGGTCAAGAGGGAGAATGTCCTGTATGAGTCTTCTGTCCTGCTAGTGAATAAAACAGTCCACAGGCTGGTCAAGAGGGAGAATGTCCTGTATGAGTCTTCTGTCCTGCTAGTGAATAAAACAGTCCACAGGCTGGTCAAGAGGGAGAATGTCCTGTATGAGTCTTCTGTCCTGCTAGTGAATAAAACAGTCCACAGGCTGGTCAAGAGGGAGAATGTCCTGTATGAGTCTTCTGTCCTGCTAGTGACCAAAACAGTCCACAGGCTGGTCAAGAGGGAGAATGTCCTGTATGAGTCTTCTGTCCTGCTAGTGAATAAAACAGTCCACAGGCTGGTCAAGAGGGAGAATGTCCTGTATGAGTCTTCTGTCCTGCTAGTGAATAAAACAGTCCACAGGCTGGTCAAGAGGGAGAATGTCCTGTATGAGTCTTCTGTCCTGCTAGTGAATAAAACAGTCCACAGGCTGGTCAAGAGGGAGAATGTCCTGTATGAGTCTTCTGTCCTGCTAGTGAATAAAACAGTCCACAGGCTGGTCAAGAGGGAGAATGTCCTGTATGAGTCTTCTGTCCTGCTAGTGAATAAAACAGTCCACAGGCTGGTCAAGAGGGAGAATGTCCTGTATGAGTCTTCCGTCCTGCTAGTGACCAAAACAGTCCACAGGCTGGTCAAGAGGGAGAATGTCCTGTATGAGTCTTCTGTCCTGCTAGTGAATAAAACAGTCCACAGGCTGGTCAAGAGGGAGAATGTCCTGTATGAGTCTTCTGTCCTGCTAGTGAATAAAACAGTCCACAGGCTGGTCAAGAGGGAGAATGTCCTGTATGAGTCTTCCGTCCTGCTAGGTCAGGGGTGGCCAACCAGTCAGAGACTAAGAGACACATTTTTTACTGTGTTACCGCAAAGAGCCACATCACACACAAAAATAAAATTCAGAAAATAAAAGCTTAAAAACTATTTCAAAATATATATTGTGGCATCTGGTTTTTATTTATTTTTATTTAACCAGGTAGGCCGATTGAGATTTGCCATTTGCAACGGCGACCTGGCCAAGATAAGGCAGAAAAATGTGCAGGACAACATACAGTTTCACAAATACACACAACTCACAACTCACTAAAGCAATGTTCCTACTTGAGCGAGGACTGCGGGTGGGTAGAGCAATGGTAACTAGTAGGGGGAATCGAACCAGCGACCTCCGGCTCCACAGCCGAGCGCACTACCCACTGCTCAATACAGGGAATTTAACTGCACTACACCCCCAGTTTGTGACACATGCGTGTTTGACAAAAATGAATTTATAGAATTCAAGCGAAGCGAACATGGACATAAAAAAAACTTCGATATGAACGTATGAACGCATTTTATAACCGATGCCTGGGAGCTGAAAAGCAGATGCTTGCAAACAGCATTTCTCCCGGTAGACCATAGAGAAGAGTTCCTTGCCCAAGTTATGAGGTCTGACAGAGGAACGACTTGTGTGTTTTACAACTGACAACGCGTCAAACATGGTAAAAGCCATGGAGCTGAACAGCTGGACAAGACTGCAGTGTTTTGGCCACAGACTTCATTTGGCCATCGGTAAGTTCAAATAGTTGCCAACATATTACTGCAAATATGCAAATTGTTATAAACTACCGGGATGTCAGTTGATTATATATATAATTGTAACTATTTAGTATCGCTGGCCAATTATTGGATTAATAACTGGAGTATTAAACTTGTCACCATAATGGAAAACTGTTTGATAAAATGTTATGTCATATCTGTGTAATATATCTAATATTCATTATCAAGACTTTATTACTTTTTGGTTGTAATTTCAAATTCTCATTAAAAAAAACTTTAAATACCGTGATACCGTCAAACATTTGAAAAATATCGGGGTATTACATTTAGGCCATACCTCCCAGCCCTATGCTATACTACTGTGGTCAGGAGGGAGAATGTCCCGTATGAGTCTTCTGTCCTGCTAGGTCTTAATGGCTTTAGAGTCGACCGAAGCTTCAACGGTCTGACGCTTTCAGCCACTATCACGTTTTCCTATCTGGATTCAGTTGAGCCCTTTTCAACTGACCTGCTAATACCCACATAAGGGTGTCACTGGAGCAGTGAAATCAAAGAGAACAAGGTTACTCTGACTGTTCACTACTCTGAGACTCCGGCCTAATCCAGTCCGCCTGCTTGTTTTATTGTTAAATCAGAACTACTAATGGAAATTCTCACTTATGCAAGTTATTTGTCCATATCATTTCAATAAGAAAATACTTTTACCCTATTCAGACAGGACAATAGGCCATCACGATGACATGGTGTATTTAAAAAAAAAATGACAAAGCTGTTAGATTTGTTATCTGCAACTGAGGTGGTTCTTTTTCACTTGTGACTGAGCTAGTTGACTGGTCCGAATGAGCTAGTTGACTGGTCCTTCACTTGTGAATGAGCTAGTTGACCGGTCCTTCACTTGTGACTGAGCTAGTTGACCGGTCCTTCACTTGTGACTGAGCTAGTTGACCGGTCCTTCACTTGTGACTGAGCTAGTTGAAAGGTCCTTCACTTGTGACTGAGCTAGTTGACAGGTCCTTCACTTGTGACTGAGCTAGTTGACCGGTCCTTCCCTTGTGACTGAGCTAGTTGACCGGTCCTTCACTTGTGACTGAGCTAGTTGACCGGTCCTTCACTTGTGACTGAGCTAGTTGACCGGTCCTTCACTTGTGACTGAGCTAGTTGACCGGTCCTTCACTTGTGACTGAGCTAGTTGACCGGTCCTTCACTTGTGACTGAGCTAGTTGACCGGTCCTTCACTTGTGACTGTGCTAGTTGACAGGTCCTTCACTTGTGACTGAGCTAGTTGACCGGTCCTTCACTTGTGACTGAGCTAGTTGACCGGTCCTTCACTTGTGACTGTGCTAGTTGACAGGTCCTTCACTTGTGACTGAGCTAGTTGACTGATCTTTCACCTGTTCAGGTTATCTAGATGGACAGCGCATTTTGCAATCCTCAAATGCTGTGAACTGACAAGCTGTTGGTGAGACAATGTGATGATTGTATGACTCAGGTGCGAATTTAAACAAGAGTTACGCAATGAAAAGGTAAACCCAAGTACAGGAAAGCAACGGGTGACACAGAGAAGAGAGTATTCCACAATGCAGATACAGATTAACCTGAAGAGAAAATTAAATAGCTGCAAAATCAACACTTGGTCTGCAGAAATTCCTGAAGCTATCACAGTGCATTTTTTTTCTACGGTTGCAGACACGCAATTGAACAGCAGTTCTGGTCATTGTGAACAAACGAGCCCAGTTTTGTTTCCAGCAACACCATCCACATATTGGGTTATAAAACCATCAGAGAGATGGTGATGTCAACTAAAACCATCAGTTTGTCGAAGCCTAAACTCTCAGGACCTCTGCAATGAGCAAGTCAATCAATGGCTCACATGGTCAGTAGTTTAACAAGCCCAGTAAATCAGGTCTTCCCTCATTATACAGTTAATAACTGACCTTCCAACCCATCCTTTCAACGTCAACCTCTCCTCTGCAATTGCATCATTTAAAAAACCCAGCAAGCCTACTCTTCCTCATCAAACTAAATGATGAATAAGATGGTCAGACGGGGCAAACATATTGTTCTAATCACGCTGGCACTAGATTTAATTTAAACACAAAAGTTGTAGCCTACTAACCTTTCGCCACTCTAAACAGACACAACAGGCTATTAAATTATATTAACGTCTTATGGGCACGATACACTAGGCACTTCACAAGCGAAATTCGCGTAGCGAATTTTCGCCTCCCATTCATTTTCAATTAGGTCACGTGACAGTGTCGAGCAAGGCATTGTGGGATACCTGGCGACGCGAAGACAGCGAGCGAAGCGTCGAAAGATAGGATCCATCCTATTCTATGCAAATTAAATGCGATTTTCGCTCTTACGCGCTTGGGCAATAGCCAATCACAAACGATGTGTCTGTGTACCTTCTATAAGAGGCATCCAAAATGTTACTACGTTCAAAATGGAGGAACTTTTAATAATTGCAGTTTCTGGATTTCAAGAACTGTACAATGTGTCCCTTTTTAATTATAGATTAAGGGACATTTCATTTTCTTTTTGGGCTATTTTTCATATGAAATAATGCTACAGTGCATGTTCATTTTTGGAGTTGGCTGGCAAACAGCACAATTCAATGCTACACATCGTAGGCAAATAGCAAGAAGTTAGGCTGGAATAATTGCTCTACGAAACCGGGTGTCTTGCCTTACAACCCGGAATCACAATCTACTAAACTCGGCCTTGGTGAGCCGAAAATAACCCTGGAACCAGGCATCGTCAAGGCGGAGTTCCTGTACAAGCCTATGGTACTCCCCATGAGTTTCTCTCGGGACAAAAGAATAGGGTTCACCCAAATGGAACGGTGCTGCGGCGCAACACCCTGCGATGAAGCAGCAATGATAATGCAACAAGCCTCTTTCTCTCGTTATCCATGTTTGAAATAGAGATATTTTTGTGTAAATCAATTTATATGCAATTATTCCCTCCACAAATATGTAATATGTAAATATGTAAGTATTTCATTTGTCAAGAATGCTTAAATAAAAATGCATATTGAGCAAACATAATACGTCGTCATGACACAAACAATCATAGTAACAACTACTGAAAATACTTTTTCACCCTGCTTATAGAAAATGTTGAATTATGATTAATCTGGTCTATTTTCATCAACCTAATTCTTAGCAAAAGTGTGCATTGGAATAGTGAAGTGTAAACTTTCTGCGTCGCAACAAAAAAAACATACATGCCCACATACACGCCCACAAGCAACCAGCGACAAGCGATCCAGGCGTAGTCAAGCGAAAATCCAAATGCCTAGTGTATCGTGCCCGTTAGCTTCTCCCCATTATCTAGCATCTGTCATTTGATCAGGGCCTAAATATAAACCCACATCTTTTTCCACTAATACCGCTATTTCTGTTCCGTCTGACTGAAATTAACATTCTTTGGTGTTTAGCAGAAAAACACCATTCTCTCCGCTCAACTGAGGAACTCTTTTAAAATTGTTAGCAGAGTGTTAGCAGAGTGTTAGCCGTGGGCCTGCCAATAGAAGCAACATGAAAGCCCTCTTAACCTTCATATAGACATGCTGTGCTTGATGAACAAGTCATTAAGGTTTTGGGCTGTGACAATCAAAGCTAATGAGCTGACAGAGGAATCCCAGTAACAAGCGGGTAAAAAAACACACAGATTGGGCCCATAGCAAAGTGCGCAGAGAACTATAACACAGATTGGGCACACAGCAGAGCCCATGTGCCCAGAGAACAGTACCCACACAGATCGGGCAAACAGCAGAGCCCATGTGCCCAGAGAACAGTACCCACACAGATCGGGCACACAGCAGGGTCCATATGCCCAAAGAACAGTACCCACACAGTTCGGGCACACAGCAGAGCCGATGTGCCCAGAGAAGAGTACCCACACAGATCGGGCACACAGCAGAGCCCATGTGCCCAGAGAACAGTACCCACACAGATCGGGCACACAGCAGAGCCCATATGCCCAGAGAACAGTACCCACACAGATCGGGCACACAGCAGGGTCCATATGCCCAGAGAACAGTACCCACACAGATCGGGCACACAGCAGAGCCCATATGCCCAGAGAACAGTACCCACACAGATCGGGCACACAGCAGAGCCCATGTGCCCAGAGAACAGTACCCACACAGATTGAGTCATCAGACAAACAGTAAATGACATGTAGGCCTGATTGTGAACACATGAATCGGTTGGCAGAGCTGTAATTTCAGATTACGGTAGAGATAAAGTTGACCTTAATAAAGGTAGGCCGAACACGCGTCTGAGTGGAGGAAGGTCAACAGTCTAGAGTTCAACAGTTCAGCAATCTACTCTGACAACTCTCCGACATTTGGCAATAGCATATCAGTATAGGGCAACATTATTCCATATTTCAGATTGTTGACAATTGATCAAGTTTTAAACTATTGCTAAACTATTTTAAAGCTATGCTCAATATTTAGCAATAACAATCACAAACAAAAACAGTAATTACAAAGTATAATTAAACACCCAACTCTACAAGGACTAATATAAACAAATCACAATCATTAACCCAGATCCAGATGATTTACCCATATCGCAATATATTTTATAGCAACAGTTTTTGGACAATCTTTAGATTAAAAAAAGATATGTTTCCATGAGGGAAGTTCCAATGTTCATAG